AAGTGAATCATGCCCCCTTCCGCCAGGTGCCGGGGCCCCCTGCCATATCCCTGGCTCTGTGGTATGTGTATGGGGAGGGGGGTCAGGGCAGCAGCTGTTGGGGCTGATGCTTCATTCCTGCATCACTCTGGGGCCAAGGAAACAGATGTGTCCCATCAGGAGCCTCACAAAGTGCAGCTGGGTGCAAGGATGAGCTGTTTCTGCCTTTGTTTTGCAACTGTGCTCCTAATCTGCCAACAGCCAGCTACATTCCCCCAGTTTAATACACGCTTTTCTCAGCTGTACGCATCCAGGGCAGGGGCAAGGGAATGAATAAAATACCAGTGTTTTCGTGCATGCCACAAACATGAAATTTATTTAAAGCATCTACATGGAAGTTCATTACATCATGCTTTTATATCTCTGTGTTTGTCTTCTTACTTAGACCATGATATCTTAGAGAGTCAAGGCTATCCCATTTATTTTGGGGTCATTAGAACTTAGCAAAGAATCAGACACATTGTGTGTGCTTAATACATGTTTGTTGAATTCAAGGCACATTTATCTTCAGAGAAACACTCTGCAAAAAAATACATGCAGGGCTTCCCTGGTGGCGCAGTGGTAGAGAGTCCGCCTGCCGATGCAGGGGACACGGGTTCGTGCCCCGGTCCGGGAGGATCCCACATGCCGCGGAGCAGCTGGGCCCGTGAGCAACGGCCGCTGAGCCTGCGCATCTGGAGCCTGTGCTCCGCAACGGGAGAGGCCACAACAGTGAGAGGCCCGTGTACCGCAAAAACAAACAAACAAACAAACAAAAAAACATGCAAAGCTCTATGACGCCCTACTGGTTATCTGATAAACTCACACATGGCTCCAAGGAAGTCCTACTGGAAATTGGATTCAAGGTCTTGCCCAAAGCAGAACTCCAGGCTTTCAAAGATCAGGCCAAAGTTTTGGTAACCAAAGACTCTTCCTAGGTAAATGTGCCATCATGAAGTAAGCACTTCGGTTTTTGGTACGGCTATTTCCCCGGTCTCTTTTAAAGAGTAAACAAAGGTTTAAATGATTGTTGTTTCAGAGATATTTAGGAAACAGGAAAAAAAAAAATTGGTTTTATTATGTATGTGCCTTTTGTTGTAACTTCCTGAGAATACCTTTGGAAGTCAACACTAATAAATACTAGATAATCACCACGGGGGACTGTCACGGGCCACCACGACACCCATCAGTTTCTGCTCTTTTCTCTCTGGGGATTGAACAAACTCCAACACAACCGCCCTCTCCCTGCATGTCTCCCTCCCCACAAACACACTATTCCTGCACTATCTGCCACTTGACTATCTCGCAGTCGACCCTGAGCCCCTGGGAATGACGTGAAGGACAAGCAGAGGAGGCCCCTCTCCTGTGCCTGCTTTGGGCGATTAACACCTGTTCTAGAACAAAGCGCCACGAAGATCAAGGTGAGCCCCTTAGAAAGTCTATTTCAAAGCAGCCATGACCAACAGTCACTCACTTCCCAAATACACACCCAACTGTTTCAAAGACTCAACTAAATATGTCTAAGGCTAATTTTCTTATTTGGGTTCTTATTCGGGATTGCTATGACTCAGGCTTTTTAATATTTTCCTGGATATACTGGGTACGGAGCACATGCCCGAGGAACACTTCGTTACCTGGACTGGAGAGTAAGGATGGCTTAGTCCAGCCAACCTTCAGCACTGGGGAGAAAAGGGCGAACAGCACACGCACTGCAGGCAGGGGCTTTGCAGCCACGGCCAAGGCAACACATATGGAAAAGGCTATTTACGTGATTAACTGTGCATTGTCATGGTTCTTCCAGGCGAGCAGCTTGCGCCTCCAGCTAAGAAATGACCACAGGGTAGAGTACGGGTTCTCCGAAACTTCACACATATTCCCATGAGTCCACACTTCCAAGCCCACGAGGGCAATCCGGATATTCAAGGATCTGTAAAACTGAAAACACACATAGAAGAGTCACAGCATCATCTGTCAACACCACTTGAGATTATGAGCCCCTTCCTAGCCCAAGCGCTCAGAGCAGATTCCAGATTTCTCTTCTATACATGCCTCCAAGGGGAAGGGGGAACACGTGTTGCTCTTCACCTTCTCAGAAGGGGGGACATCCTAAGACAGGCACGACATCCTAAGAGAGGCTCTGCCCCTGGTGGCAGAGCTGGGGTGACTTAGCTTAGAGAAATGAAGACTGAGATAGGACACAGAGCTGCTTTCAGACATGCACGGGGTTCTCATGTGGAGAAAGGATCAGCATTTTTGCACATGAGCCTAAAGTGGGGCTCAGTCTATAGGTAAAAAAGACAGGAAGACATTTCATTTCAAACAGGAAAAAAGCTTTCAAAGTGAGCTAAGCCACGCTGTCATCTATAATAAGGACCTTTGGCCCAGATGTCTGGTACAATTATCCCTCCCAATTCCTTTATGGCCCTTATCATTTTTATACATGTCTAAAATGTTCTCTTGTAGATGCATTTTCAAAACAACTTTATTGAGGTATAATTTACATATCACAGAATCCACCCATTTTAGGTGTACAGCTCAATATTTTTTAGTTAACTTACCAAGTTGTAAAGTGATCACCATAATCCAATTTTAGACTATTTTCATCACACCAACAAGTTCCCCTATGTCCATTTACCATCATTGCCCATCTTCACCCCCAGACCTGGGCAATCACTAATCCACTGTCTCCACAGATTTGCCTTTTCCAGACATATTCTATAAATGAAATTATACAATATGTAGTCTTTTGTTATTTCTTTCATTTAGCATGTTTCTGAGATTCATCCGTCTTGTAGCCTGTATCAGGCTGCCATTCCTTTTTATTGCTGACTAGTATTCCATTGTGCGGATATATTAATGGATTTATTGGAAGACGTCTCCGACTCATTTTGGAAGTAAATGGGTGTAAATGAAATACATGTAGATAGATGTGCTTACTTTCAAAATTTCCTTCCCCATCACTGGGGTTTTTGGGTTTTGTGAAGGATGCCATAAACAGGTTGCAAGCTTTAGGCTGCAAAGGTCCCAGATAATCTTCAGGATTTTGTCCAACCCAGAGATCCTGAAATTCTATAAATGAGCCTTGATCCTTGGGCTCCTTAAGGCTAGAGCTACACCTAACTTTCATGACACAGTATATTTCATCTCACACACACATAGCAGGAAGAGGGTTTTCCTTAAAGCTAAGTACTGGAAAGCGTAAGTACAAGGAATTCTTTGACTGGCCTACCCTAGAGAATACTGAGACAGCAACTTAAAAAAAAAAAAATTGCAGGCAAACCTAGGCCACGTGAGCAGGAGATGCCATCTTAATCCGAAAGTGGCAGGTACTGCCCCAAGGTAAATATAACAATCATAGCACCAATGCTTATCAAGTGCTTTCTATGTATTAAGCACTGAGGCCTAGAGAAGTTCAGTAACTTGCCAAAGT